TGTGGAAAGAGCCGAGATGCCCTTCAACAGATGAATGGATAAAGAAGATGTGGTCCATATATACAATGGAATATTACTCAGCCATCAGAAAGGATAAATACCTAACTTTTACATCAACATGGATGGGACTGGAGGAGATTATGCTAAGTGAAGTCAGTCAAGCAGAGAAAGTCACTTATCATATGGTTTCACTTATTTGTGGAGCATAAGGAATAGCATGCAGGACAGTAGGAGAAGGAAAGGAAAAATGAAGGGGGGAATCAGAGGGAGAGATGAACCATGAGAGACTATGGACTCTGAGAAACAAACTGAGGGTTTTAGAGGGGAGGGGTGTTGGGGGATGGGGTAGCCCGGTGATGGGTATTAAGGAGGGCACGTACTGCATGGAGCACTGGGTGTTATACGAAAACAATGAATCATGGATCACTACATCAAAATCTAATGATGCACTGTATGGTGACTAACATAACATAATAAAATAAAATAAAATTTTTAAAAATATGTCTATTTTGTACCTCACAGTATAACATAAGTTATCTTTTGGGCCAGAAATCAGAGATAAATGTAATCATATCAAAAACACATAGAGCCAGCCTGAATAAGTTGTGACAATTGGAGCACACCAATAATGATCGCAGTTGACTAAAACAATATTTAATATTAGAGAATGAGCCTGAAAGAGAGAACAAAAGCAAAACAAAACTCAGTTGTCACCATTGGAAGTGGTACCTACACCAACTCCTAGCTCTGAAAATTGATCACAGGAGGAAAAAACTAAAGATTACCTGAGGAAATATATTTCAGCATAATCAGATTACCCACATGGATGAAGTAAAGCATCTCTTCATAGAAGAATGCCATGAAAAATGTAGAAGTGATAGAATTTTTAAAAATCACTCCTCTGCAAGTTCTAATATAAACAGATTCAGGAAGGATCATCAGTGGATGCTAAACCTAATGGGTGTAAGGTTGATGAAAAACTGGTGTTCAGAGTGTTCAGTGTCAGCTTCTGATTACAGTGCACCTTGCAAGGGAGAAAACATAATTTTGCAGTGGGGTAATACAACTGTCACCACTGGAGAACCACTCCGAGCTCACTTACAGAGGAACACGTGTCCAGAGATGATGCAATATAAAATACAAAGCAGCATCTGTGAAGTATTCTTGCCAAAAATGTTTAACCTAAAACTCAGCAAGTCTTTAGATCTAATTTTCCGTTTACAAGAAATATTGAGAATAGGTGAACAAGCTAACACCATGAAACAGCAATCTGACAAATTCAGAATTGGAATATTCTACAGGATGATGAAGTCTCTTCTGCAATTCAATGTCATGAAGAAGTGGGGAAAGGGAGACAGGGAGTCTGTCCTGAATTAAAAGACAATTAAGAGTTGTAACAGTCAAAGGCAATAGCCAAAGGATCTTAACTGGATCCTGTATGGAATAAAACAACTATAAAATATGTTTGGGGAACACAATGTGAACTACATGGATATGAAATGGTATTGAAGAATAACTGTCCATTTTGCAAAATGTAACGATTATATAGGAGAATGTCTTTTTTTAGAGATGAACATTGAAATGTTTAGAGATAAAATACAATGACATCTATAATTTAAAATTCCTCAGCACAATGAAATAGAAAAAGCGAATATGGCAAAATGTTAACAATTGTTCAGTCTCGCTGGGTTCTACATGAGGGTTCATCACAGTATCTTCTCCGCCTCTCTGTATCTTTAAAATTTTTTCACAACAAAAGAAAAAAAAGTTAATGTCATTCCTCAAAATCTTCTAAAGATTCTCCTTGTTTCAGAGAATACAAGCTAGATTCCACATCATGGCCCAGGCACCCCCCTACCTCACCTCTCCACATCTCTCCTCACCTCCCCTGCCACACTAGCTTCCTTGCTCCTCACGCAACCACATTTTCTTTGCCCAGACCATTTGTCCTTCATCCACATGGTAACTCCTTTACTTTGTTCAAGCCTCTGCATGAAGCTTACTTGACCAGAAAGGACGTTTCCCTGACCGCTATCTCCACAATAGCATCCTACTACCTTCTGTCATGTTCCTCACCCTCTACCCTGCTTTACTGTGCTTCACTGTACTTTTCACCCCTGACATACTATATATGTATGTTGCTTTACCACCAGTCTCCAGTAGAATTTCAGGTTCTGTGATAATACATCCTTTGTCTCTTTTGTTCATTGTTGTATCCTGGTACCCAAAATATAGTAGTGCTTGGCACATAGTAAGCACTCAATAAATTTTGCTGAATGAATGAATTATGACCATTAGGTGTGGAATTAAAAATACAAATCTTTCTTTTCTCCAGAACATCCTCTTTGATCGCGGAAAATGTGCTATAATAATCATGTATCTCCTTTTAACTGTGGAATTACTGCCTTGTAAAAGAAAATAGTAAAACAATCTCTTAGGCTTACAGGTACTTTGTTCGCACTCTGTGTTGTAAATAATTTCTCTTTCTTGATAAGAGAAGTTAAAAATATGGAATAAGTATATATTCTTAAGCTTTGTAAACACAGCATGGCAACTAACTCATGACACTGAGATAAACAATTAAGATCAAACCACAGCGCTTACCGGCATCTGTAAATACATCACTCATCCTGTTGTATTATATATCCTGATACCACCACCCTTTAGAACACAAGCTCCGTTAAGAGAAGAAGTCTGTCCGTGTTATCCACTCCTATATCCCTCCCTCCTGAAACGGTGCCTGACACATAGCAGGCACTCAAATAGGTAATTTCTGAATAAAATAATTCATTAATTCTGCTCAATTTTATGTGAAATTTCCTATGTGGCACACTCATGCACTGTCCTCGGATAAGGGAGTCACTGATGTCATTTCTTAAGACTATTAAAGCTATAATGTAACCTTCATGCTCTAGGCTTTGCCTTGATGAATGAAATAAACCTGTATAGTGTCAGTTCATGAAACGTATGCCTATTTTCTTACTTAAGTTGTAAATGACACCAATAACGTTATTTTTTTTCTTTTTAATCTTTGAAGCTAACCCTGATTTTGGTTTTCTGAAATGGCTACAAGATCTCATTATCTCCCTTTTATTGAGAACAATGACACTATAAAGCACTTTTTCAACAGTTTCTAAAACGTACATGTTATATGGAACTTTTTCATACTTCAAAAATGGTAGGAAGACATCATATTAAATGTACAGTGAACTGTAGGCTAAATAAACCTCTGAAATTTTTGTGAAAAAGGTAGACAGCTTACTCTCTGGGAGATGTGAGTACAAACCTTTTCCTTTTTTTTTTTTCCTGCTTTTGACTCTAATTTTAAGGTTATCCATAGTAGGCCATCATGTTTTTAATATAAGCTTTATCTGTTACACAGCCACTTTTTAGAGGTACTTTAAAAGAAAAAGCAACTCCACTAAGACTTAGGGACTTATGGATTATCTTGGCAACATGGCACCGTTGAGGTAGGCTCTGAGGCCACGACACATAAAAGGTGGATATCAGAGCAAAAGGGACTTAGCAGTTGAGATCACAGACTCCTGCCAACCTGCCTTTTGAGAAGAACTATATCAAGTTTGAAGTGAATCTGTTTACACTCTCCTTGGCAACATATGGAAAAAGGGTAAGTAAAGGTACCACCTGTTCATTCTTCAACCCAGCTATGTAGACAATGTTCAAAAATAAGCATTACTGAAGAAGCACGGGGAAATCTGAGCTTCCCCCTCAGGGATCTGGGAGGATAACATCTTTCCAGGGCAAAATGGAATAAACAGAGTTTGTTGTACTATTTTGAGAATGGGAAGAATTTGGTAATTCCAAAATCAAGTGTGAGTTCAAAAGATTTAGATAAAAGATACTGGGCTCACATTTGTCATCATGATTGTGAACATTCTTTGTAAGAAACGATAATAAATCTGATCACTTGATATGATATGCGGCAGACAGGCATATTTCTGTAGTAGCTTCTCATGAGTTCTCCATTTCAAGGAGGCTGCAGCTCGCTGCTCAGCAGCCGTGAGGGCTGGGATCAAGTCAGGCAGAGATGATAACTGAAAAAACACACATCAGAAGACTGATGATAATAAATCAAGTGCAGCATTCAGTCAAACTATTCAGTCTTACAATACATTGGGAGAGGAATATTCTCACTCACTTCAGAACCTAGGAGGATCTTAGTTGTCACAGGGAGATAATTATCTGGCAAAATCAAATACGTTTCAAAAAAATCCATAAGTGAAATTTATAGTTACTGAAAACAAAATTTTGAAATAGAGAATGGGACTCAATCCTTCTAACTAAAGTAAAATTTCTTATATTTCGCTGTTGGAAAATTTTGACCTTCTACATTCCTACTCTTCTGTCCTCACCAGATGCTATTCTTAGAATAATAATTAATGCTAATAAAAACTGGAAATATGAATGTAAACTCCAAGGACAATAAATAAGAATCATGGTAATGGAAGAATTGTAGGGGAAATTCAGGCTGTTGAAGCTCCAAGAGACATTTACTAAGCCACCTGCTATTATGAGGCAAGCACTACTTTAAATGTTTTCCACACATTCTCTCATTGATTCCCCACAACAACTCTATAGAGTCAGATCATATTTAAAACATTCAGGAACTTCTCTGATACATGGGATTTACCTTATTTTCTTGAATACTGCTTTCTCCACCAGTAGACATAAGTTCAAGGATTTCTGGAAGATGATCTATAAGAGCATCTAGTACCTTTCAATAGAGATATCAATTACTGCTATGGCAACTACTGTTTTTCTAATCTTTGGTTAGCCTCATAAGTCAATTTCTGTGCAGAAAGAGTATTATTTACCAAACAACATTTAGGGAGTTTCTATTTTCTTACATTGCCATCTTCTTGCTGGAACATTTTAGAAACATAATCAACTGCCTTGATCAAAACTACCTATGAAAAGAGATTAGTATATCTGCCCCTTGATATTGTTCAAATAGTCTAGATCTGAGATAGCTACTTCCATACAACCAATATGCTGAAAAACTGCCTCTCAACTTTTAAAAAGCAATTTAAGTAAGATAACACCCTCAGCAATGTGTAAATATTGATGAGTTGAGCTAGCAGTCATTTGGGTGAACAGGATATACTAAATGCAGCATCAAAATAAAGTATTTCAGTTTTCCCAAGTATATTCCCTAAACAATGCTGAGAGAAAAAAAAAGATGTAAAATGTGATATAAAATAGGATTGCAATTAAGTAAAATAAAAACTTCTTCATAGCAAATAAAAAAAAGAAAAACCTAAAAATATAACAAAACAGAAACAGTGATTGGAACTAAAGGTATCCTTTTGTTTGTCTACTTTTTGGCATGTCCTAAATTCTTCTTAATAAACAAATATACATACATATTTTAAAACTGAGTATTTTTTTAAAGATCTCAATTTCCAGTCTATGATACAATTGTACCTTGTCTTGACGCTTTTGCGGCTAGTCAGCTGAAAGAATTCATGCAATTCCTAAGAAGTGGGGGGGAAGAGGGGAAGGGCATTGATAATATTCAGACTTAACATGAAGTAAAAAACCAAAGAGTAAGAAGATATTACCTCCAGTGATTCATCTTGTAATAATGTTATTAGTTCTTTATGTATTAAATATACTCCAGAATTCAGAAGTTTAGATACCTGAAATGGAATAAAGTCTCTCAAATTTAAAACTACTAGACATTTAAAGGTTATAATATTTTACAAAACGCATCCCTGTTAGATACTTCTTCTAAAATGAAACTAGATTACAACATAAATGTAAGAATTAGATTTCTAGAAAAATTAATTGCAGAGAGGGGCGCCTGGGTGGCTCAGTCGTTAAGCGTCTGCCTTCAGCTCAGGTCATGATCCCAGGGTCCTGGGATCGAGCCCCACATCGGGCTTCCTGCTCAGCAGGGAGTCTGCTTCTCCCTCTCCTGCTCCCCCTGCTTGTGTTCTCTCTCTCTAATAAATAAATAAAATCTTTAAAAAAAAATTAATTGCAGAGAAAACCAGCTTTTTAGTCTGCTTTGTAACACTCTGGAGTGTGGACACACGAGGGTGGGAAAGTCAGTGCCCACATGCACATAGAAAGTACAGGATGGATTTATCAGTCATAATTTTCATAACACAAGCAGTAAGTCCATGGACACCTCTAGCTCATATTTTAAAGTCTTACAGCAGTCAACAGGGTCTGACAGGACATCACGGGCATATGAGCATTCATCCTGGTTCAGCGCCTCCCGAAGAGGGTAAGCACTACAGAAGGTCGGTGTGACACAGCGATAGAGGGGACTCCTAAGCAAGCAAGACACTGAAGATTTTTCCCATCAAAGACTTTAATCAGCACAAGAGGAGTTGGAAGGGTCTAATCCAGCTCCCCTGTGAACAAGTCTGTTTTTCTTCCTCCAGGCAAACTCAGAACCCACAATGGTAAATTCACCAGTTTCTACTTCATCTTTTTTTTCTTTTTCTTTTTTGGGCTTGGTGTTTTGTTTGTTTGTTTGTTTGTTTTTACATATTGGGCTTCTGGGTAAGATTTTCTTTGCGGGGGAGGGAAGCTTCCTGGATAAAGAAAATGTTTTAAAAAACTTTGCTCTACAGGGCTGTTTCTGACTTGTTCAAAATATTTTCAAAATAACATATTTCTGAAAAACAAGAATAAAGTTAGGACATGGTAAAATAACTATCAGAATTTAACAACAGCACTGTGAGAAAAATTTAAATCCACCAATGGATTCTCACTACTCAAAAAGGATAAACTTAGACTAACAATCTATTTTATGGAGTATCAGTAACAGCCTACCTACGTGGTATGATTGAGAGAACCTGGCAGCTAGCCACCAAAGAGCTAGATCAATGATCCAAACTCACTCCTACCAGTAACGTATTTTTATGGACACATTTCAGATGTTTATTTATAGGGTGTTAACATATTGTGTCCACTATAAAACACACAAAAAATGAAATATTAAAGGAATGAGATAAAAATGAACATAAGTAAGAACTCTAATATTATATAAATATTGCGTTCTCAGATACTAACCTCATGAAACCATCTCTGGAGACCATTCATCTAACAAGCACGCATGGTAACCAAGACTACATGCCCACTTAATGCACCGTGGGGACAGAGTTCACTCAGCTAATAGCAATGCTCTCTGTTCTTTCCCCTCCTCCAATAGCGTATTTCTACCACTATATTTAAAAAGATGACTTAATTGTGCGACACTGGAATTATTTAATTATTTATACCGTTTAAAGGAAATATTTCCTAGATTTTGCACAGTGAACATTTCATTCATACCAGAAAAACTGTTAATGAAAAGAAGCAAAGACGATCAGCCAACAGCCAAGAGTCTTAGGCAACATAATAATGATGCTATAGGTACCTCGGGCACTTTTCAGCTGATCTAATGATGCTCTGCTATGGAATACAGTGCAAGGAAGGGGCTGAGATCTTCTCATTGAGACTAAGAATATTTAGATACCTCTTATAAAGAAAGGAAATATTTTATTATGCCACTTATAAAGAGATATTTACGTTTTGAAGTTGCTAAGTTATAGTTTATACATCTTTACTACAGCATACATGTGCTTACTGGGAACCTCTAAGACATACCCAAATTTCAACCTCAAGTGTTAAACAGCTAATAACATTCATCATGAAAGTTTAAATTCAGGGGCGCCTGGGTGGCTCAGTCGTTAAGCGTCTGCCTTCAGCTCAGGTCATGATCCCAGGGTCCTGGGATCGAGCCCTGCATCGGGCTCCCTGCTCGGCAGGAAGCCTGCTTCTCCCTCTCCCGCTCCCCCTGCTTGTGTTCCTGCTCTCGCTGTGTCTCTCTCTGTCAAATAAATAAAATCTTTAAGAAAAAAAGAAAAGTTTAAATTCACTTTTGCTCTTACATTACAGAGAGTTGCTGTAATAGCTGAACCTAACAGCTATGTTCATGAAACATGACCCATTTGCAGTAAAAACAATAAATGTAGGGCGCCTGGATGGCTCAGTCAGTTAAGCATCTGCCTACGGCTCAGGTCATGATCCCAGGGTCCTGGGATTGAGCCCCCTGCTCAGTAGGGAATCGGCTTCTCCCTCTCTGCCTGCCCCTCCCCCTGCTCATGCTCCCTCGGCTCTCTCTCTCAGATAAATAAATAAAACCTTAAAAAAACAATAAATTTAAATAATCTCTCTCAATTTTCCATTTATTCTCAAGTTCTTGAGTTTAGACACAAAGTTAAATATAAATATTATAAAGCCTGTGAAAACTGATTTTACTCCCAAAGTTGCAATACCCATATTCACACCACAATGTCTGGCTTAAAGTAAGCACTTAGTACATGAATGGATTAATAAATGATAAATGATTATAATGTGCTTATGTAAATGAATTCTATCAACATACTAAGAGAATTATGGGAATTTTAAAATAACATTTAGGACCATAATATGAAAGACATATGAGCCTGTGTATTGTAATAAACCTTTACAAACAGAAGTGTACACAATATCAAAAAATCATCTAGCATACATAGGTGAAATTAACAACCAATGTAAAGCCGTATCGCTTCTCCAGACTTACTTCATAAAAGCAAATAGCAATAGTATATCTGACTGGTACTTCAGGGTCATGACAAAGGCAGAAGAATGTAGAATAGAGTTCCATGTGGAAGTTTTTAGGATCAACAAACACAATCATGGCCTGGTGGAGGTGGAAGGGCGAAGATGAGTGGGAAGGAGAGAAAAACATGCATCAGTACCTAATATTACAATCACTTCATTTACACTAAAATCATGTCCTTTGAATAATAATTTAGATAGTGATCATATTTGGAAGATCCAAATGCATGCATATAGTTCTAATTTATACATAAAGATAAATATAAATTACACCAATATTACTTAGTACCTACTGCATATACCAGACATAAGGCTAAGCAGGTGTCAAACATGGCCATACTTTTTAATGCTATCTATTCATATATTTTAAGGTTATAACCAAAACATTTATTCAGTACAAATACACAATTTATTACCGGGAAGTTATAAGCACAGTTCTTCCGGACGGAAATATATTTCTTCTCCTGCTCTAGGATTTGGGGTGGAATCTGATTTTCATTGTGTCCATTTTCTTGTTGCAAACCCAATGTACAGAGTTTCTTATAAAACTCCAAAAATCTCAAGTGTTGATCTGGAGTAAAAATTCCTAAAACAAATGTAAAACCTTTGTTCAACATTTCAATTGAAAACAAAAAGAGAGAAAAGCAAAGTACAATACACACATAATTGGAGCAAAATAGTCAAATAAATGGCTAAAGATCATAAATAAAAACAGCAGAGGAAAGGGTACCTATTATGAAGAACTCCAACAGGTCAATTGTTTCACCTTATGTTAATCTTAACAATATTTTAATTTTAATTTTGAAAGTATAACCTACACAATGCAGGAATTACAACTGCATTAATTTCTATGGCATACATCATACCACAGACCAACAAGTCACTACAATAATAATACATCAGGGTCATTACTGCTATTTACTTACATAAATATTCCAAAACTGTCTGCAGAAAAGATATGTATATGTTTCTGCAGAGAGGCGCTTAAAAACTCAATCTAAAGGACAGCAAAGTAAACTCAAAATATTTTTGATCAATGGATAGGAGCTCATCATATACTGCAGTACTTATTTTCAAGAGCCTGTTAAAAGTCTACAATATACATTTGTAAAAATGTTTTACTATGCCAGATGGTTTTAACTTAATTTGTGCTTACATTATTATAGTAAGCTAAGAACTGAGTAATATGTTCAAAATGCCAAGTTGTATTATGCTGATTCTAAGCTGAAACGCTCACATGATATATTACAGCAAATAGTTGATAAGGGTATACTCACTATGTACCAATAGTTAATATAAATGAGCTTCTATTATCATATGCCAACTGATACATAAGTATAAAATATTCAGAAATTTAAAGGGCCATGCCTACTTCATTCTGTCACTGTTCTTTCAGATAGGTTCTATTGGGGGGAAAGTCATTTTTCAATGTGTTCTAAATTATGCTATCAAAAATCTAAGGCCTCTTAAGATTTTACACACTTAAAGGATAGGTTTTACACCTGGAAAGCTGAAGTTTAGTGGCTGAGGTAAAAGAAAGAGGAAAAAATTATCCACAAATCTTGAAAATCTTAAGATATATCATACCATAGAGTCCATGGCATAGTTTTCCTAAATGGAAAGATAAGGAAATAAGAATTGATTCATCTGCTTTGAAAGATTTTTCACAAAATGATTTCACTAAGGGAAGTATAGTTTGACTTCTGTCATCTGGAAAACAAAACAAAATAAAACGTACTTCAGATCTAGTCGCCCACACTGCACAGGTAGAAATTAATATATACACACAGATCCCAGAAAGAAAAATTACCATGTTAGCCACATAGTAACAGAAAATTTCTGCCAGCAGTGGTGGTGGGGGTGTGGAGGAGAGAAGCAGTGAGAGGAGAGCTGAGATCATCAAAAACCTTAATGCCATGCGCAGGAGCTCAGACTTTCAGTGCACCTGTTTACTGAATTTCTTCACTTTCACTTCTTAGAAGATACTTCCTTAGGAAGCGAATCGATATTTTTTTTTTTAAGTAGGCTCCACGCCTAGCATGGAGCCCAATGCAGGGCTTGAGCTCACAACCCTGCAATCAAGATCTGAGCTGAAATCAAGAGTAGGGCACCCAACTGACTGAGCCACCCAGGCGCCTCAGAAGTTAATTAATATTTTTCAATATATCTGCTGGCTATAAATTGCTGATATATTAGCAAAATTTACACCTTAATTCTAAATACTCTGAATTTCCCATAGTTCTCTTAAACGTTCAGAAATGCACCACTACTTTACTAAGGGTCTGGCAGGACTAAGTAAAATGCAGCAACGGGGTTATTAGTATTATTATTCTGGTTACTATCACCACAGTTCAGTACCACAACTACTGTTTTAACTAAACAACATTCATTAGACAAACATTTATTGTATTTCGTACAGAACAAGCATTATATCAAGTAGAAGTAGAAAGAGGAGTAATACATGGTCTCTAAACTTGAGAAACTCAGACCAGCAAAGAAGCCAAACACAAAAACTATCAGAAGACAATGTGATCACTGTTTTCATAGTCAGCATAAGGCAGGGGTCTGCACATGTTTTTTGTAAATGTTCTAGGCTTCGCAGTGTATTTGTCACAACTACTCTGTCACCACAACACAAAATCAGCTACAGACGATACATAACCACATGGGCATGGCTATGTTCCAATAAACTTTACTTACATAAACAGGCAGCAGCAGAATTTAGCCTGTAGACCATAGCTGGCCAACTCCTGGCATAAGACATTTAGAGAGATATCGGAGAGGAAATTGTATTTGCAATGAGCACTGAAGGAGATGTTGGTTAGGAGGAAAATAGAAGAAAAAAAAAAACGGAGCGAAAAGAATACGCAGAAAAGCTAGAGGTGTGGGAGAATCGAATATGCCAAAGTAATGACAAGTGCTATTGGAGCATCGCGTACCAGGGGTGGGAAGGAATGTCCGGGAAAGCCGAGAACACAGGTCAGGCCCAGATCTGTGATAACCAAGGGTGAGCAGTGAAGGGAAGAGAGCAGAGAGGATGCCAAGGCTCCTAGACTGAATGCCCAGGGGTGCCCCATGATTAGGAAAGCAGATTCATTCGTCTCTTTTCATGTATTATAGTTTTTCCTCCTCTGGCCCATCAGATAGCCTAAATGATTATTCTGTAGCAATCATACATAATTACTGTCCACACTGCAAAAATCTTTAACAGGCTCTCCTAGTTCAGGTAAAATGCTGTTAAGCCAAGTAAATGTGATCCTCTAATTACACAATAGAGTTTTTCACCAAAGTACTTGATATTTACTCCTCCAAATTTCACCATATCAACATGGTTAACGTTTACTAATAAGTTAATGCCCAGCATTAGTCAAAGATCCAGTCATACACTCACAGAGGAGCTGTCTTTGTGATTTGATTGACACAACACTAAGAAATACCTCCGTACCCATTCCCACCCAAGTACCTCATCCCAGATTTCTCCTCCTATGGCCATGAGATTTCTAGCATTAAAATATTAAGGTAGGGAAACTAATTTAGACCTTGTGTTAGTCAGCATCTTTCCTCGGGTCAATTAGTTGAACAAGTTAGAGGCAAATTACCAAGCCAAATTCTTAGGAAGGGAGGTTTAATGTTCATCACAAAATCCGATGTAAGCAATTCTGTCCTTTATCGTCCTTTACTCCCTTATCAGTGATAAAAACAGGGAAAAACACTGCTTTCAGAAGCAAAGATGTGTCCACATGTAGATTTACCTGTATCAAATGCATCAAGCAGATTAACCAGAGTTTCAAAAGCTGCAAGACGCACACTGCTGCCTTCATCCCTAGAGAGTTCTATTAGTTCAGGGAGCACCACGCTTTTTGTAAGTTCTGTCCTGCACAGTAAGCAATGGAAGAAAATAAATCAATTAATAAATTATAGCAAAAGTTATTAAAAACAAGTCATAGTGCCAGGTGCTGTAGAAAATAGGAAAAATCACAGAGACGTGGCTCCTGCTCTCCAGAAGCTGGCAATCTGGTTGGAAAGCATGATAAAAACATAAGAAACATTAATAGTAATTGTATAATTATTTAAATCAATTCTAGTTCCACCAGGATATTATTACCTACAGAGATCTTAATGACTAGACATTTATATTAAACTTTATATAATTTTTTTAAAGATTTTATTTATTTATTTTTCAGAGAGAGAGAGAGCACAAGCAGGGGGAGAGGCAGAGGGAGAAGCGGGCTTCCTGCCGAGCAGGGAGCCCAATGCGGGGCTCGATCCCCGCACCCTGTGATCATGACCTGAGCCGAAGGCAGCCGCTTAACCGACTGAGCCACCCAGGCGCCCCTAAGCTTTATAAATTTTAACATAGTTCGGGTGCCTGGGTGGCTCAGTCGGTTAAGCGACTGCCTTC